CTTTAGGGTGGGAGCTACAGACCTGGGGCAGCAGCTGGCCTCAGGGCTGAACCTCACAGCCCCATCTTTCGGGTGTAATGGGAGTTGAACTTCAGGGGGCCAGTGAATTGGCACTGGACTTAGAGGGCCTACTTAGCAAAGTTTCTGTGGGGCAATTTGGGGGATGGAAGGGACTCTCAGCTCACTCTCCCCCTGCCTGGACCACTACCCATCCATCCCAGACAGGGGCTCCCTCAACCCCCCAGCATCCTTCTGTCTTCTGAATTTGAGCTTAATGTGCAGAGAAGGAGTCAGAAAGGACAGTCAGTAAGGGCTAGGTTCCCCCAAGTTGTTGGAGCAGAACCAAGCCTAGGTCCTGAGGCTTGCAACTCCCAGCCCAGTGCTCATCCAGTCACATTGAGGGTACCCATCAGGAGTAGGTCCTCGGGGGACCCGCCTCCCCATCCCTGCTCTTTAAGCTGTTTCCTGTCCCATCTGGGAGTAGCTACAGAAGTCCGACATCCCAGCCCTTGTGAGGCTTAGGTGGGCCTCCATCCTCAGCTTTGGAAAGAGTAGGCCTGGCTCTCCATCTTCTCCTCCCCCCATCATCTCCTCCCCCCTCCCTCCACCCCAGGGGCATGTGGTGAGGAATTCACTCACTCAGAACATTCTTCATCTGTGAGTGGTGTCAGGAAGGCAGGCAGGAAGTTGTTCAGGGAGGGAGAAATAGCTGTTGTTCCCACAGGGAGACTCCATCCCAGCCTGATGGGAGGAGTAGAGGCCCTATCCTCCGGGAGGACCTGGTGTGACCAGGGACCCAGAAATGGGATCGTCCAGTGCTGAGTTAGGGGGGTAGTTGTCTGAGCCCTGGGGGGAGCAAGGGTAAAGCATCCCAGATGCTCAGTGTTTTTGTCCTTAAAAATAGCAGGACTGGGCTAGTGCACCATCTCTTGCTACTCTTTTCCATTGTCTTTTCCCCTCAAAGATTTCTTACGTAAGCAAAAGAGAAGATAGCAGATAGCAGGTGGTACCAAGGAGCAGAGTGGCTTCTGGAAGCCAGGCTCAAAGACAGGCAAGGTCCCGTGCCCTCACTTACTCATTCGTTCACAACCACGCTAAGCTGGCATTTGCTGAGCACGCCTCCATGCCAGGCCCCATGTGGGTGTCCATGCCTGGCGAGAGGCAGGCCGACCTGGGTTTGAGGCTCCCACCTGCCAGGCTAGAGGACTGACAAAAATGACTCAGAACAGTTAGAGAGAAAAGCTGAACCGTGGATGGGGAGCTCTGCTCACTACCATAGGCCCGGTTCTAGCACACTCTGGCACAGTCCCTACTGAAGGAAGGCACCAGGGTCTGTGGGATCATAGAGGAATGCACCTGACTCAGGGTGAGGGTCAGGGGAGGCTTCCTGGAGGAGGTGGTCTTGAGCTGAGGGCCCATAGGCATTAGCCAGGCTGGCAGGGTGGGGGGGGAGGCAGGGAAGGAGAAGAGGGGACCGGAGTCACAAAGAGCAGGCTTCTGGAGTAGATGTTTGGAGGTCCCTGGCCACAGCAGTCCTGTCTAGCTATGAAATCCCATGGTGTCTGGACTTGGATCTCCCTCAATTCTTGGGAATTGAGCCAAGCTGAGGATGAGGCTCACCCTCTGGCAGGATCATGGCGACCCTTTCTCCAGGGAGGAATGGATGGATAAGGGTGTGAGATTGACCCTAGGAATCCTCCCCCAGGGAAGGTGCTATGTGCCACCCTGCCCTGTGGCGCCTTCCTCCCGTCCTCCCCCATCCTGGCACGTGGGGGTGCCCAGACCTTCCTGCACTGCTCTGACCCTGTGCATCCACGAGGGGACTGTCAGTCACTGGTGCTCTCAAAAGAACTACTCAGCCCCTATTCAGGCCCACCCAGCAAAGACCCCAGTTATCCCCACTTTACCAATGAGGAAACTGAGGCCCCCAAGAGTTAGGTCACTTCCTTGAGGTCTCACAGCAAACTGACATCAGGGCTGATTCCAGGGTGTTCCACTTTGCCAGTTACTATCATTTGCAGCTATGGTCTTTGGCTTGGAGGAGGGGAGAGGTTTCGACTTCAAGGCACACCAGGCAGCAAGCATCCAGAGAAGCACAGGGGGCCTCGTGCAGAGGCTTGGGCCTCAGCGCTTGTGGGTGGCAACATGGTGGGCGTGGGCATCCACCCAACCCAGACCCTTTTTGTTCCTAACATTCCCACCACACTCCCAGCCCAACAGTGGGAAGTAGAGAGGGCCCCCACGGTGTCTATGGAAAGGAACATCAGGGCCTTCAGTCTCCTTCCCCCACGGCTGGCCTCTCTCCTGGAGTCAGAGAAGGTGGCACAGATCCAGAGTCTAGGTTGGAGCCAGGGTTCACAGCCAGGTCCTGACCTCCAGTTTAATATTCTGCCTGCTTGCCTTGCTACCTGCCCCCACCACAGTAGTAAGCAGGGGCTTCTTAAAGGCTGGGTCCAGTGTTTCCTGGGTATGTATGGGTCGCTATGCCTTGACTCCCAGGGCTCCCACTCCCCCACCTAGTATCTGTTCACTTCACTCTCGAAGACAACTCAGGAGATAGGAAAGAACTTGGAAATTTGAAGATCCTGGAGATTTCTTTCTCATTTGCTTCCTCTGGAGGGAAAGGGATGCTGTATGACAGAACCTAGTCCTGAGGGTTTGGGAGCTGTAGGCATGGGCCACCTGCTGGGGTGGAGGGGATATGTCTCAGGGAAGCCAAGGGTCTCCTGGTGAGGTCTGTTGAGAATGGAACTGCCATCTCAGAGGGGCCTTGGCTAGTCAGCCCAGTTCTCATGTCTCCTAGCCTAGGATGAGGGGTGATCAGGAGAGTCGGGGTGCTCAGGGGGGCATCTCAGTACCCAGTGATATCCACTCTGCCCCAGAGGGAAACACCAGGCTGTCCCAGGAGGCCTTCATGGCCCATATGACACTGGACCGCAGCGGCACCTGCTATGGCCAGTGTTCATTGGCTGCTTCAGCCACCAATCACAAACTGGCTGTGCCTTTCCACCAAGGAGACTGTCTCCTGGGCTCTGCCTCCCAGCCCTGGCTGGATCCAGGCTTGCACAGAAAGACCTTGGCACTACCCTGCCTCTTGCAAGCACCAGGGCCATGCCAAGGAAACCATGCTCCTTCCAGTCTCTCGGCAGCAAGGTGCCCTGAGGGGTGGTAGTTGGTTTGTTCTCCCATCCAAAAAGCCTGCCAAAAAAGCTTGGCCCGGACCCTACCCTTCTTCTAGGACGAACCTGATTTGGTCCCCCACCCTTGTCAAAGCATTTATTCCTTCCTCAGCAAGAGGCATTGAGGACCTCCTAGATGCCAAGTTCTGTGATCAAAACCGAGGTTACAGAGCTGAATCCAACAAAATAATCTGCCCTGGGGGTGCTCAAAGTCAAGTTGGTGCTGGTGATGGGGGGTGGGGTAAGGGTGGGCGATGGACTTCTAAACAGAGGAGCGTAATCAACTGTTACCAGAGGGAAACCCAACGACAGGAGGAGGGGTCAGTTCTGTGAAGGGAGGAGGATGGAGAGGGTGGCCAGGGGTGCACAGAGAATCCTGGAATATTTGCTCTGGAAGGGACATCAGGAAGCAAAGCCCAACCCTCTCACTTTGTGGATGGGACCCAGGATGGGGAAGGGACTTGGCCAGGGTCACTCAGCGAGGTAGTGGCAGGCTCTCAGACCCCTGGTGGCCAGCCAGGGCCCGTTTGATGGTCCCAGGCTCCCTTTCTGGTTTTCTGAATCCCAACCCTTGTGTCCTAACTGCACTTTTGGAGAAACATTTGACATCTCTATCCGGCAGTCACCCAAGAGGTGCCTGCTCAGGCCCGAGGAGCCGGGCGCTGCCAGTCCTTCCTCCAGAGGCGGTGTGGCCTCCTCTCGGCCTAGAGTGGGGTGGTTGCGTTTTTTTTCTCTCTCTCTCTATCTCTCTTGCATTTTTGTGAATCTGATGATGAACTTACGCTGCCACACTTTTCCCTTCTCTTACACATCTTACCTACTAAAGGAGGAAGTGCCACTTTATTGGTAAGTGGACGTTAACCAAGAGGGACTTAAAAAATCAGAACTTAAAAAAAAAAAAAGGAAAAGAAAAGAGAGAAACAGAAAGACAGTCGGGTGCTGCTGACAGTTCCACAGGTCTCTGCAGGGCCGGAAAACAAAGAAAAATGTTAACAGAAAAAAATGTCAGTTCCCCAGGAGTTTCAGACATTGTTTTTGATTTTGGTATCTAATGACATTTGTGGATTTTGGTTTTTTTATTTCTGTTTTTCCTCCCTTTCTTCGGTTCAGTTTTGAGTTCAGTTGTCCCGCCCCGCCCCCACCCCCATCTGTGTGCCGTGTGCCCCCTCCATTCCCTCCCCCACCCCCACGCGCTGGGGGGCCTGGCCTGGGGGGACTGGCCCTGGCCCGGCCTCCCGGTGCCCGCCCTCTCTCTACTCTCTGCCGGGATCGTCCGTCCCATCGGGGGCCAATGCCAGCCCCCCGTGCCCGTCCTGGAGCCCCCCCCGTTTCAACCCCCCTCCCCCCCACCGCTCCGTCCCTCTTGTGTTTTGCATGCCGAGAACCTTGCATGAGCTGCACTGTTGAGGCCAGAAGGTGGACACTCAGGAGAGGCAGAGGCAGGGCAGGCGCGGGGAACCGTGTGTGCGATGCTCCGGGACTGGCAGCCCCCGGCCTGGGCCCGGTGAAAGCCCCCTCTCCTTCTCTCCCCCCACCCCACCCGTCCGCTCTCTCACCCTCGACCTCGCTCCTTCTCTTGGTCTGTCCTCTCTCTGTCTGTCTCTCTTTTCCTCTCTCTGCCCGTCTCCTGCTTCTCTAACTTCCCCTGCTCTGTCTCCTCCGGCTCTGCCTCTCTCTCTCTCTCTCTCTCTCTCTCTGCTCTGGACTCTCGACCTCCTCGGTTTTCTCTGTCTCTGCGCGCGTCTCTTCCGCCCCGTCTCTGTCTGTGCCTCCGTCCCCTCTCCACCCCCTCCGTGCCCTCTCTGCCTCTCTCCCCGTCAGAAGCCCAGCTCGCCCTCGCCCAGGGCCCGCGACCAGGCGGAGGCCGGCGCAGCCACGCCGCCCGCGCGGGGCAAGGAGAGCCCGAGCCCGCGCTCGGCGCCGTCGTCCCAGGGCAGAGGAGGCCGCGCGGCGGGCGGGGCGGCCAGGCGG